CTCTGGCCTGTACCCCAGTTCTGTATGAATAAATAAATAAATCTTTAAATATATATATATATATAATTTATCTCTAAATTTACTTCTTGCATAAACTCTGAGGTAATATTGGATACTTCAAACTTTGTCTAAAGATCTCCAGTCGCAGGTCAGCAATCGTCTCAAGAACCAATTCATTAAGAATAGAAGTCTGGATGCCAGGGCAAGAGGGAGTCTTATTACATGCCCATTTATGCCTTTGAAATTTTGCAATGTGTAGTTTTTTTTTATTTAAAAAAGAAAGTTTTCAAAGAAAAATTCATTAAATGATCATAAAATTCAGAAAAACGATGCCTTGAAACTACCTATACTTATTTGCCTAATTCTAAGGCTCCTGAGTGACTAGCTTGCATTGTGACATGCTAGTTGTACAGTTCTGTGGACTTACTAATAATAAATTCACAGTAAGTGAATCTTACGGTGTAAAAATAACACTTTATCATAACCATCCACAATCTTTCAAATCTTGATTTCCACAGATAAGGCACTTGGCTTATCTATTGGATATCTTCTCTAAATTATTCTTCCTCCATATGAAACTCACTAGTCACATGTGATCACTCCCTCTCATGTGATCATCCCTCTCTAGGGATGTGTTATGGAGCTTTGCTTCCTGAAGAGATTCCTTTCAAACTGAAAGCATAATCAAAAGTATAAGATGCTCCTTGCCTTCAAGATTAACATTTACATTTCTGTAGGATCTCAAATAAAGTGTAGATTTTTTTAGAAGATTTATTTATGCATAGAAGAACTGGGGTACAGGCAAAGGTAGGAGGTGAGAGGATTCACTAGAGATTGACTGGGGAGCAGAACAGGCAAATCAACAAAAACACATTGCTGAGGAGAGCAGCAGAGGAGATGCTCGGAGAGGTCTGCTGTGCCATGTGGGTCAGCTCCTTGGCTGGAGATTGAACTAGTGCTACAGTGGCAGGGGATTGCTTCATAGTGGTGTGTTTTAACCCCTTGCTCCACCAGGGAGGCCCCTTCCACAGCTCTTTCTGGGCTGAAAAAAAATCCTAATATAAACCTGTTTTATTTTTTCAAATAACTTTATTTAGCTTTGCTGCAGTAATAAGTACATTTTCCTAAATCTAAAATTAAGTCCTCAAAAACCAGATTCAGACTTTCAGAAAAGAACTTTGGAGATCCTTCCCAGCACTATTAGCCTAAGACTCCAGTATTTCACAGTTAATAGTTCTACTGCCTGGCTTGAACAAGAGAGTAAAATTCAATTTAGTTAAACAAACACTCAATTAGTGCTGACAATGTGCCAGGTGCCATGCTAGGCAGTAATGTCACAAGCAAGTGAGACAAAATTCCGTCACCAAGAGGTCATATTTATCTGGGAAAATATCTGTGTGTGTAAGCAAAAAAGTAATAACACTTAACAAGTAGCAAAAGAAGAACTATAAAGTTTCACAGAACTAATAGAGGACTTGATTGACTTCATAGAAGAAAGGTATCAGGGAAGATGTGAAAGGGTGAAAAATGGCCCCCAAAGATATTCACATCTAATTCCTGAAGTTCTTGACTGTTACCTTATATGGTTAGAGACTTTTGCAGATGTAATGAAGACTGGGGATGGGGAATTATCCTGGATTATCATATAGGCCCTAAAAGTAATTACATTCCCTGCCAGGGGTGGGAAAGATTTGACAGTAGAAGGGGAAGAAATTCTATTACATAAGTAAGTGGCTGGAGAGATACCAAGGAATAGAGGCTGCCTCCTGAAGCTGAATTCTTCCCTAAAGCCTCAGAAGAACCAGGATGTTGAACCATAATTCCAAACCAGTGAAACTGATTTCGTATATTTGTCTCCAGAACTATAAGCTATTGCGTTTGTGGTTGTTTCTTATAGTAGCTATAGGAAACTAATATATTCCTGTTTCCCAGGAAACAAGAATGATGTCTGTCTGACCTGGGTTTTTAAATGATGACTAGTAATTCAACTAGTAGTTAGCGGATGGGAGAACAATCTACTGAAGGCTATATTCAATTTTTCTGACTCTCCAATTAAGAGGGAAAATTGGTTCATA